GGGGTGAGGGAAGGGGGGGATGAGGGGTGAAAGCCATTTTATCTTCTACCACAGTTATCACCTGACTTCGTAAATAAGGACATACATACAGTCTGTTTTGATTTTTACGTTGTTTGATATATTTTATTCGGAAAACCTAATACTTGCTTGACATCTACATTTCGGTGTCGGTGAAATCTCCACACAAAAGAAGAAAAAGAAGTCACAGACAAACTTTTGATTCTTACATACACCACTCGACCACCTAAGGATACCAGAGGAAGGAAAAACGGCAAAGAATCTGTCCACAAAACAACTACTGTACCAAAAATCTGGAAACAAGGTACCGTAGAAACGGGAGGGTCAGGGGTCGTCAGCTGCACCATAATGTAATAAACCTCTCGCAACATTGCTCGGTAATTTCTGACATTTTCTAAACATAGAGATGAGAGAACAAGCAGATGGGAAATGATTTTAGAACAGGTTTGGGGCATAAACCATCTACCGTCTACATCCTAATTTTTATATAACGTAATCAGAATCTTCCTCAAACATTTATCCAGCATCTGAGGTCAGATTTACACACACTTCATGCAAGTTTATACAGCTATGAGACTAAACTAAATTTAAAAAACTAGGCAATCTATTAATAAAATGACTTCTCTTTTTCAGATGTCATATTATCTCTTGAGGCAACATTTGTAAAAGCTCATCGGAATCATCAAACTTTGGAGAGCTAGGACTTTTTTCCCTTTTTGATTAAAACAAAAAATAGACAGGTCCGTCAACAGAATGTATATAGAATTCACTAGGTGGACTTTGACCCTGCCTATCAGGGCCAGCCCAGGCAGAGAGGGATACAGCATCCCAGCAGAAAGACGGAGATACTCAGTAAAAAAAAATCTCCCCACTCAAGAATTGAACTCTAGTCTTCTTCCTGAGATGGCAAAGCATCTAACTTTGTTTTCGTAAGAGTTTTACCGCACTTGCAACACAATAAAGTCATATAAGTGCCGAAGATTAAATGTGTTACAAGAGAGTAACAAAACACAAAAAAAGGTGGTGAGATAAGAACGACAGATGTTTGATAGGAAAGAAGGAGCAAACCACACAAGAGCACCCACCAACCACCCACAAACATCTAACAACTACACCACAGACGCCGCCAATGGTAGATGGTTCAAAGCCTCAGAGAAATATGAGAGAAATATGAGAGCAAAGAACAGAATGTTCAAAGTTGTGGCACAAACATCATCAATCAAGGTCGGTTGATCTTAAATTACTTGAATTAATTAATAATTAAAATATTTGTATATATATATATATTTATAACTTATCTAGAACATCAGATGGGTACAAAGGGCACGACAACACGTTTGCCTCACAAGTGATCAGCTGTCTGTTTTGGTTCGCTTTTTGTACACATTCTCACTTTCACTTTCTTTCTCTCCAGTTTTTCTTTCCTGCTCTTCTATTCACCACTCGTTCTCTCTCTCTCTCACTCTCTCAAACACACACATAAAAGTTCTCTTTTTCTTTCTCTCACAAGCACACACACAAATTCACACACACACACACACACTCTCTTTCTCTTTCACACTCTCTCTCTCTTTCTCTCTCTCTCTCACACACACACATACACACACACATACACACACAAATATACACACCACGAAGTATAAATACATTTTAAAAATCTACCACTGACTTTGTAAAGTCAAATATTTGTACAAATTCACCCAATCTAGTACATTTTGTATTCATAAAATTATTTTGCCATAGCCTCAAACTCAAACACGCGACTTCTCTGATGTCAGAACACGGATGGATATAATCTAAGATCTTCCTGATTCAGATCAACTTGTAATTAAATTCCTGCATGTGGTTAAATGATGCATCTGATTCGAACGTACATTTTGTCAGCTTTACTTCTCTTTTCATATCGAATTTTAATAAGAGTAATATATAATTAAATTTTTTTATGTATACCTGCATGTGTTTTTTACGGTCCTGTACAGCCAAGAAAAATTTCCCTCTGGGATAATAAAGTATCATCTTATCTTATCTTATCGTATCACCACATTTCATCTCATTTCACAAGGAGAGAGGCAGCGTTGCAGCATATAACACACCGACAGATATCCATCACAATTCATAAGTTTTATCAATCTCCACCGAACGTAAAGCAGTGACAATAAATGTGAGGCATCGTGGTGAAACCAGGCGCTCGTCAAAATAATGAAATCGAAGAAACTGGCATTTTCGCGCCAGTCTGTTTTGGGTTTGTTTGTTTTTCAAATTTTCAGTTTTGTGACTCAACACCTTTAAGGTTCATATCAAATATATTTATGTGTGGATTTTACTTTTTTCACAAAAATGCAAGACAAATGAATAATAAGCTTTATGGTGACACCAATAACTCCTCATGCCCAAAAATTGACGAGCACCTGATTCCACCGCGTCGTGACACAAATTCCTCTAAACGACAGACAAGAGACGATTAATTAATCAAGGTGGGTCAAACTCGGTCATAACCTTTGACCTTCTCAGAGTGACTCGAATAATAATTAATAATCATCACAGTCCTACCTTGACGGCAAAAGACATTTATTAGGATCCAACTTCATCTTTCAACACTTTTTAAACCAGCGTGACATACAAAAAAAAAAATCCTTCTCTGAACAAAGTAGGTGGAAAAACATTTTTAAAAAAACGAACCAAAATTTTAAGTTCAGAAAACATACCACTGGGGACTCGAACTAGGCTCGCCCGCCTCACAGTCCAGTATGATGGCATCATCAACTGAGCGAAAGTTGAATCATCATCATCACTATCGTTATCATTCTCATCACCATCCTTGTTATCATCATCATCCTCATTATTATCATCATCATCACCATCATCCTCATTATTATTGTCATCCTCATTATCATCATCATCATCATCACCATCATTCTAACCACCACTGTAATTGTTATCATCATCACTATCACTCTTATCATCCTTATCATCCCAAAAAGGCACAGGGAAAATAATGGTAACCAAAAGGTATTAGAGGGCCTGACTAAAATCACAAGACATAGATCTATAGTATAAACGAAACAATAATCATAATCATAATATAAAATAATGAAGGCAGCGGGTCGGGTCAGAATCCGGAGCCAGGGACGACAACTCCGGGTATCCACGATCATCATCTGTAAGCTGGAGTTCTCTCCCCTTGCTTCCTCCTCGCCACCACGGTCACTTCTCCTCATCTCGGGGGCCTGTCCTTGACCTTGTTGCAGATCCCGTGAGGTGACGTTGACCTCTTGACCCTGACCTCAAGCTCATGTGCTGGAGGGAGGGAGGGAGGGAGAGAGGGGTTGGAAGTAGAGATGTGGGTCAAGTTGGTGGGAGGACAATCAGCCAGCCAGACATGACGCCAGATGACCGCCAGATGACCACAAGATGTCCATCACATGAACACAAGTTGACCACCAGATGACTGTCAGATAACTGTCAGATGACCACCAGATGACCACAGAACGGCCGCCAGATGACCACAGAATGGCCGCCAGATGACCACAGAATGGCCGCCAGATGACCACCAGATGACCACAGAATTCACATAAACACGTACGTCGCAATAATCGTAAATTGTTTTCCTTCCATCGACGTCGCGACGAGAAGTGCTTGCTTCCCTCCCACACTCCCTCACTCGCTAGCTCGTTTCCTCCCTCCTTCCTTCCTCCTTCACACACTCCCTTCCTCCTTTACTCGCACGCTCTGTCCATCCATCCATCCATCTATCTCATCTCAGGAGTTGTAGAACTGCTGGTACCCCTCGGCCCCAGAGAACAGGACGTCGATCCAGATGGTCATCGTCTCCGGTGAGGGCGCCACCAGGTAATACGTGCGGTCAAACGTCTTCATGCAGAAGGTCAGTTTGGGGCTGGGGCTCTTGACCGTGCGCAGGTGGTCAGCGTACACCTCCTCGATGGCCTGGAAGCAGACGGAGCCCTTTAACCGGGTCTCCGACTTGTCCACGAAGTAGAATACCTGGGGAGACGGTGGGT